CAAGTTGAAGAAGGCATTGTATGGCTTGAAGCAAGCACCTAGAGCATGGGATGAGAGATTGAGGAACTTTCTACTCTCTAAAGGGTTCATGATGGGCAAGGTTGAACCACTATTTTCACCAAGAAGATTGGCAAAGACTTATTTGTGTTGCAAATCTATGTTGATGACATCATATTTGGATCAACCAATCAAGACTTTTATGAAGAGTTTGGAAAGATGACGGCTAATAAGTTTGAAATGTCCATAATTGAAGAGTTAAGTTACTTCCTTGGTCTTCAAATCAAGCAATTGAAGAATGGTATATTTGTGAGTTAAGGCAAGTACATCAAAGACATGCTCAAGAAGTTTGGCATGAGTGATAGCAAAGCCATTAGTACACCAATAGGAACAAATGGCAACTTGGATAGTGATGCAAGTGGGAATATGGTGGATCAAAAATTATATCGGTCTATGATTGGAAGCCTACTCTATGTGACCGCATCAAGGCTGGATGTCATGTTTAGTGTATGCATGTGTGTAAGATTTTAAGCCTCATCAAGAGAAAGTCATTTGAAAGCTACAAAGAGAATATTGAGGTACTTAAAGCATACACAAAATGTTGGTTTATGGTATACCAAAGGAGCAAAGTTTGAGCTAGTAGGTTACTCCGACTCAGATTATGTGGGATGCAAGGTTGAAAGGAAGAGCACCTCTGGCACATGTCAATTGTTGGGAAGATCACTTATTTCATGGTCATCAAAGAAGCAAAATAATGTTGCATTATCAACCGCTGAAGCCAAATACATATTCGCTGATAGTTGTTGTGCACAAATACTTTGGATGAAGGCCACCATAAATGACTTTGCAATCAAGTTTAAGAAAGTGCCATTGCTATGTGACAATGTGAGTGCAATCAAGTTAACCAACAATCCGGTTCAACATGCAAGATCAAAGCACATTGATATCCGCCACCATTTCATAAGAGATCACCAACAAAAAGGAAATATTTGTATTGAGAGTGTAGGCACCGAAGATCAACTTGCCGATATATTCACCAAACCATTAGATAAGAAAAGGTTTTGCAAGCTAAGAAATGAGTTGAATATATTGGATTTCTCAAATATGTGTTGATGCACCTCCCCACTTATATGGCATGCCTCTCCTTCGAGCAATCCAAGGTAAAAGTTGATTGGCATGTCATTCATCCTTACTAAGGACATGATTAGTGCATCTAGTCATCTTTCATATTTAATAGGCTCATTCATTTAAATCAAGTGAATTTAATGATTGTATGGTACCACTATTTCTTCTATGCTTAATTTGGTTTAGTGGTAGCATATGACATGTTTGTGGGCTTATAAACCTATTGTTTGATCTAGACAATGAGCTCTAAGTGTTTAACTCAACATGGTACAAGATAACCCTTATTTAGAGATGTGAAGAAGCTTGTCCTTGGATCAAATCGAGTTAAATCTCTTTGGCAAGTATTCTAGATTGAACCATATTTGGGAAAATGGTCCTCACCCCATTGATTGGCATTGATAATCTCAATCTATCTACATTTTGAACCTTTGTGGTCATTGATGACAAAGGGGGAGAAATATTATACAAAGATAGTGAAAAGACAACAAGAGGGAGAGAAAAACAAAGATGTAAGTGATAGGGAGAGAATTTGACATAGGAAGAGAGATATGGGATCAATTAAACTTTTAAGCACACAAGTAGGGGGAGCAAGCTCATGAACTTGTATGGTGCATTTGAATGTGTATTTCATATGTTTGCTTGCATGGCATAAGTTTTAAATTTCAATATCCATACTTGTGTGGTGTATGCAAGTTGTAGGATTAATAGATGATATGAAAAACTAGCATGCATAGGTTAAGTAACTAGACTCATGCTCATTTTATGAAAACTAGACCCTTGCTTCTAATGTTGATCTCATGGGATATTCTAGTTTTTGTGTATGTCTAGTTACTCATGGTGCTAAGGATGGTATATTAGTGCACTCCGATTGGTATCACGCTTCAAAGATTCATCTCTTATACCTTAGCATCATTTGGTAGACATTGTCTCATATATTTCCTATCTAAGCATATGTGCAAGCTACAATCCAAACTCTTAGCACATATGTAGGAGGAGCAATTGCTACCATTTGGGGTTCATGAAACTTGTCCATATCCTTTTACTAATGGTAAATATGCTTGGGCAAGCAACATGGATTCAATTTAATTTCAATTCATATCTTTGTAAAAGGGTTGTCATCAATTACCAAAAAGGGGGAGATTAAAAGGTTTAGTTTGGTTTTGGTAAATTGATGAAACCCTAAGTGCTAACCTAGTTTATCAAAGTGATTATGAGATAGGTAGCACTACTCCAAGTGATGAAGCAATGGTGAAAATCATGATGATGGTGATGGCATGGTGATGATCAAATGCTTGGACTTGAAAAAGAAGAAAGAGAAAAACAAAAAGCTCAAGGCAAAGGTAAAACTTGATAGGAGCTTTTTTATTTTGGTGGTCGAGACACTTAGTGAGTGTGATCATATTTAGGATCGATAGCCGTACTATTAAGAGAGGTGAAACTTGTATCGAAATACGGTTATCAAAGTGCCACTAGATGCTCTAACTCATTGCATATACATTTAGGATCTAGTGGAGTGCTAACACCCTTGAAAATATTTATGAAAATATGCTAACACATGTGCACAAGGTGATATACTTAGTGGTTAGCATATTTGAGCAAGGGCAAAGAAGATAGAGTTAAAAAGGAGTTGATTGCGCTGGTCACGGGGTGACCGGGCGCGTCCGACATGTGTACCGGACACGTCCGGTACTGTCTCAGCGACAGTGTTCTTGACATGACTAAACACGTCCGATATATATACCGGACGTGTCCGGTATTTTATCTAGGCACGGGTAGAGTTGTCGAGGTGACCGGACTCTGGCTCAGTGGAGTGACCGGATGCTGACGAGTTATTGTTCAGCGTCAGGTCAAAGTGATTTAGACCGAAGCTGGATTGCAGAGAGCGGTCGGACACGTCCGGTCACCATGTGAACCAGCAAGTCTCGGCTTTTCAGCACAAAATTGATCGGACACTAGGAGCATCTGGTCCGGTGTGACCGGACACGTCCGGTCGGCCCAGAGCGGCTCTGGGAGCTCTCTGGACTCGACCGGACGCTGCGTCTCCTGCGTCCGGTCCGGTGTGACCGGACGCGTCTGGTCGGCCCAAAGCGGCTCTGGGAGCTCTCTGGACTCGACCGGACGCTGCGTCTCCCGCGTCCGGTCGTTTTCTAACAGCGCGTCCGATCACGTAGTATTAGCCGTTGGACACGAATGGCTAAACAATTTGAAAGGGACATGTGGCGGTTAGGCTGTGACCGGACGCGTCTGGTCACCACACCAGACGCGTCCAGTGCACACGACCGGCGCATCCGATCGTCCCGCAGTCAGTCCAATAATTGAGCCAACGGCTCTATTATTTAGGGGTGTCTATAAATATTGTTTGGTTGGCTCAAGCTCACTCTCTTGGTCATTTGCATTAACATAGTAACCTTGTGAGCTTAGCCAAAGCCTTTCCACTTATCTCCATCATTGATTCACTATCTTTGCGAGATTAGGAGTGAATTCAAGTGCATTGCTTGAGTGTTTGCATATAGAGGCACTTGGTGTTCGTGTTTTGCTGCGGGATTCGCTTGTACATCTGTGAATTGATAGCGCTTCTGTAAATACATGCTTTGCTCCATTTCTTTCTCCCTGAGCTTGCTTGGTCTTCGTACGGTATTCACTTTGATTATGCCTCTGATCCCTTGAATTCATTTTCTGTGTGTACGCATTTACGCGGCGGCGGCCTAGCGCAGACGGTCGGGGCAAGGACGCCTGGTGACGCGCGGCCTGTCGACGGCGGCCTGGCGCGGACGGGCGGCGGCGGCCGGCGTCAGGCTCCCGCCCGAACACCGATCAAGATGGAGAGGGAACGGGAGAGAAAAAAGAAATTGTTGTGACCGTGAGAAGCAGAGTAAGAAGATAAGGTAGAAAAAGATAAGGATAAAACAGTCACGTGTGGTAAAAAAGATAAGATCAGAAATTTACAAAATTAAAAAAACACGAAATAACAAAATAGCATGAAACACACGTCTTAGAAGAAGCCCACCCCGTAAGGGCATTCTGACGACACCAACGCTTGGAGCCTTGGACTCTACACCATAACGCGGGCCCCGTGACATCTCACCTGCCCCCTCCGGCTGCCGTCTGTCCTCCCTAAAGATGGCAACGGCCCCCCGATACCCGATACCCGACGGGTATTTGATCCATTAGGGGACGGGGATGGGATCATATCTTTACCCGCGGGCATCTAAATGGGCAAGAATCCATACCCGATGGGTATAGCGGGTACGGAAACGTTTCCTGTTTACCCATCCCCGTTACCCGTTGGGGAACCCGACTATTTGAGCTGTCATATGAGTATTAGGCTCAAAGAAGCTCAACATAGGTATTTTGGTCCAAATCTGAACAATCATATATATAGTTTGTGTATTTTAGGAACCCTAGTTCAATTTTTCCTCACCATCTTCGCTAGCAGCACAAGCACACCTGCCTCACGAGTGCTCATGCCCCTTGCTTCCTCAGCTAGGTCTCTCTGCCACCTTTGCTCGTCCTCCTCGTAACCTCGCTCCATCTCCTCGACATCTCCGAGACTCCGACACTTATACCTGGGTGAAGAAGAAACGTCTCCGATTGCAAAGCTGCGACCTCAAGTGTCCTTGTTTATCGGGTATGCAGTACCCGTCGGGTATCTGTTACCCGACCGATGCCCGACGGGTACAAGGATAGACAAGAATTTATACTCGAGACAATTAACAGAAATGGGAACGAGATGATTTTTCCATAGCGGGGAAGAGAACATTCCGGCGATATCCGACGGCTATATCCGTTGCCATCCTTAGTCCTCCCCGACCGGTTCCCCCTCCCTCCCCGCTCGCCTGCGCCTCGCCTTTCTCGCCCTCTTTCCGGCTTTCTCACACATGCCCGCCTTCTCCGCCCCTCTCCTCTCTCTCTCTCTCTCCGCCCGCGCCCTCAACAGCGGCGGCGTCGACCGGCAGCGGCGTTCAACTGCGCCCCACGAGCAGGTGAGCCCGTCGAACGCTCTGCCTCACCACCCCGCAGGTTGAATTCCTCGTTCCAGCGATGAATTTGTAGCCTCGGATCTCATTTGTGTCGTTCGCGGCTCGGAGATTTCTCTGTCCTTTTAATCTTCCTGCTGTGTTATTTTTCGCGGTGGATCTCGCCCGCGAAGTACCCCACGTTGATGCTGAATACATTTCCATTGGGTGCCTTCATCTGGATTTTGGATCATTTGGCGTCGACCGACTATTAGCCTTGCCTGTGGCGGCGGGGATTTGAAAGCGAAATTCTGCAGCGATGCGAGTGCTAACTGACTCCTGCGATCGGGGTGTGTTTGCCGATTCGAGATTCTGACTGGTCCCGGAAGAGCCTGCTCCAAGTTTTGGTGTCACTGTCGCTCGGAATTGGAAGGAGATTGCCGTTTTCAGCTCAATGCTTTGCTTGTGACCTCTGTGCTCCCCCTGTTGTTTCCATGTATATTGCATATTGTCAGTCGTGTACTGTTTGCTGGTTTCATATATGAATCTCGCACTTTGGTGTTAAAAATTCTGATGTACTTTTGTTAGAATTGAGAAGAGCAATGCAGCATTGCTTAAGTTATTAAGTTTGCTATCTTGAATTTTGATGCTAGTTTCATCTGTGACATAGCTCCTACAGTGACTGAGCATTTTCTGAATTTGGACCTTAACTGTGCAGGTTTCTTGTCCCCGTCGATTTCCAGTGACTTCAGTCTAGCTCAGTAAGCATCTGATCGACTTCGAGGTGCCAGACAGGGCCTTTGCTGCCTTACTGGGATGAAGGGTGGCTGTCTGCATAGGCTCCTTGTCCACAAGCTATGTTTTGGCCTGGTGGTTCTCCTCACTGTGCTGATTGTTGTTCTGTTACTGGAAGGAGCCCCAGTCCTCACAATCTTCAGCACAACACCAGGGCAATTAAAAGTTATCTCTCAAGGTAGTCTGACATCTGAATGTTACTTTTTTGGCTTGTTGCTTTATTTACCAATTCAAAATCTACACTCTGCTTGTTGTTTGTATTCCCCTTGGCATCAGGTTTCCTACAGCAGCAGGAGCAGGAACATCTTGGAGATGATGGAGCAACCCTAGCTGGGTCTCCAGGTCCAGCTTCCATGTGCCGCTCGCACAAAAGGAAGGGCAAAGTGATGAACAGTAATTTCTTATGTATGTTGTGACATTACTACTTTGTTTTTTGTGGTTTGCCCCACTTCTGCTTCATGCTTGCTGACTTACCTCATGCCTCTGAAAGCATACTTCTCCTTGTGCTTGTTTGCAAACCAAACAATTTGTGGGTCACATTAAGCCCCATTATCTGCCTTTGCATAATATAGGGTTGTTGTTACATCCTAGAATGTAACTATGCAGAGCGATGCCATTTTATTCTTGTTTATTCATCTCAACCATTGGAATTCACAACTTTTTGCTGGTGATAGGTTGTTTTTGCAAATATGAAGCTTGAATCCGATATCAAATTCCTTTGCCTGATATAATGCTTCTGTTACTTCATAGATTGTAACTACGCAAAGGGGAAGTGGATAGAAGATGATAAGTGGCCATTGTACTCTGGTAACGAGTGCAAGCAATGGCTGTCAAAAATGTGGGCTTGTCGAATGATGCGGCGTGTACATTTCTCTTATGAGAATTATCGGTGGCAGCCACATGGCTGTGAGATGCCTGAGTTTACAGGGTCTAACTTCTTAAAAAGGTATTTTGCTTCATTTATCTGTGCACCTTATTGAGATCTGGATTATTCTAACATATTTTTGGGATTTCAGGATGAGGAACCGAACTCTTGCTTTTGTTGGTGATTCACTTGGCAGACAACAATTTCAGTCAATGATGTGTATAGCAACTGGTGGCAAATACAGTCCTGAGGTCGAAGATGTTGGTTGGAAATATGGCCTTGTCAAAGCCCCAGGTGCTCTAAGACCTGATGGGTGGGCTTATAGATTTCCATCCACCAACACAACTATCCTTTTCTACTGGTCTGCTACTCTGTCTGAATTAGAACCTCTGAATACAGAAGACACAGTGACCAGATATGCATTGCATCTTGATCGACCAGTTACATTTTTGAAGAAGTATCTTAATTACTTTGATGTCCTAGTACTTAACACAGGCCATCACTGGAACAGAGGGAAATTCAATGGAAATCACTGGGAATTGCATGCTGATGGGAAGCCTGTAGGCAATGGTAGTAGACTTGCAGACCTAACCCGTGCAAAAAATCTTACATTGCATAGCATTGCTAGATGGATGGATTCAGAACTTGCACGGCATCCTAAGATGAAAGTATTCCTCAGGACAATTTCACCAAGGCACTTTGTAAATGGTGACTGGAACACAGGTGGGACATGTGGAAATACCATCCCCTTATCTAATGGAAGTGAGATCTCGCAGGACCATTCAATTGATATACCCGCAGAAAACGCTGTGAAGGGAACTCGGGTTAAGCTTTTGGATATCACTGCTATCTCGAAACTACGAGATGAGGGGCATATCTCAAACTCTAGTTTCAAAAAAGCTTCCACCGGAATTAATGATTGCTTGCACTGGTGCTTACCTGGTATACCAGACATGTGGAATGAGCTTCTCTTTGTACAGATTTAGTATCACACTCTAGTTAGGCGGATCTTTTTCAGAGCCCTAAGGATCTCTTCTGTTCATATCATAGCAGTACAGTACATTTATGGAATTTTGGATCACCCATTGGAGGTGTTCACAAGATGATACTACTGATTTCTATAGAAGTAATTTACAGTTTGGTCCAGATTCTTCCAACTTCCTTTCGGAGGTAGGAGATGAAGCTGCTGCACAGCCCAATCTGACTACCGAGTATTCTTCAGGCACGTTGAACTTTGTTTCTACTTTTATCTTACTATAAAATCCTACCACGGTAATACCATGTGCAGCATATATCCTTCAGAGAAATGTTCATACCAGTTGGCCGTAATTATATATGTTCATTCAGATAAAATTAAAAGTTCAACATTCGATTGATTTGTGTGACCTCAAAGGCTCCATTCTTGTATGTGTAACATTTTGAGTGATAGATGACCTGATATACCATGCATCTTATGACCATAGCTGCCTGTGGATACCTTGTCATTTTGCAGCTCTGTGTTATTGCATTATAAATTTATCACGGCTACTGGAATACCCTTGTTTTTAAAGTGTTGTCTTTCACTTGGTGTCACATATTTTGCTCTATATTTTTCTAAGAACTATAAGTACAACAGCATGAGCATATGAAAATATTTTAAATATGCACAATTTTGTCACTAGATCTGCTTCTTGTTCGATTAATTCCATGTCATCAAGGACTCAAAATTGCAAAGTTTGACTATCAGTTTCGTGGACAACTTATAAAATCAACTGGAAGGGGTTTGGTATGTATGCCCTGTTGTTCTAGAAGAAATGGATATTGGTATATGCCAGAAGAATAAGCTTTTAAAATATTCGTAATTTGTTTTCTCAAAGATCAAGTTGTTGTGAAACTGATATAAGTACTCCTATAAACATTATCAAGATAGCCGAACAATCATGAACCTGATAAGGATTAGACAAGGGTTGCGCTAAAATGCATAACCAATAATGTCCCTCTAGTGCATCTTCGATGTTGATGTATATTAAGCAATTATTGTCACAACAAACGCTCCCCTTCTGAAAGGCAACAACCATCTATTCAGAAAAGAAAGGGTTAACTATCTGTGCTAGTGTCGGTTGATGAGTCAACTCGACGTAGGTACTGAAGATACAGTTTTCCTCTCTTTTTCTTGGAACAGCTACCGACACATAGTTTTGGATGTTGAAGAGTTCATTTTGTTTTGGTCTTGTTTTTTCGCATGAATATAATTGTTCGCACAGGATAGGACTATCCATACCCTTGTTAAAGGCAATAATACTACCACTCATTGCATAAAGTATAGGTAGAGAACAAAATATTGTATAAGTTCAGTGTGATTCTGAACTGTGTGGCCTTATCCATCATTGTGATGACTTAATCTTCCATTCTTTCAGTTGGGATATTTAAACTGGAAATTAACAAGTAGGCTGATGTCACAATGTATTAGTATGCAGAAGTTGAAGTGCTGTTATGGATTCTTGCAGTTAAGACCCTAGGCTAGACATATCTTTGATATTTGAGATGAAAAATGTGAAAACTGTATCTGTAGATTTTCTTTTGAAATATGTTTCGAACTTGTAAATTAATTTGTAAATATTTAAGTAAAAAGTCAGTGAGTGAAGCTAGTAGTGTGGACATTGTCTTTTTTTTTCTGGTTCTTTTATTTTATTACTAAATCCGTTCCAAATTATAGTTCGTTTGATTTTTTTTTACCTCAAGTTTGACCACTCGTCTTATTCCAAAATTTGTAATAAATATCATTTCTTTTGTTGTGGCTTGCTTTATTAACAAAAGTTCTTCAAAATGACTTAAATTTGACTATGTTTGTACAAATATTTTTGAATAAGACGAGCTGTCAAACTTTGGATAAAAAAGTCAAACGAATTATAATTTAGAACTAAGGGAGTATCTATTTATTTACTGGTGTGTGTGTGTCTATATATATATATTAAGGCGTTGCCTAGGCATCAAGGCGCTAAAAGAAACCTGGGCGTCCCCCACGCCACGACCAAAAATCAGCAAAACAAGAGAGGAGGGGAGACAGAAGAGAGGAAGAACTGGAGGAGGACCGGGAAGGCCAAGCACTTGTCTCTGCCCATCCCCATTGGCTCCAGACGCTATGGCCGTCACAAACTTCTGCGACATCGGACATCTGGGAGGGGCAGCAGCAGTCAGCAACCCTCGATCTGCGATCAACAGGTGACTGGAGAGGATCTGGAAGGGGGCGGCACCAGTAGCGAGGACGGGGAGAGGAAGAGGTAGGGAGGAATGGTTTCAGGCAGCAGCGGCGCAAATGGAGAATGAGAGAGGGAAGGACGGAGAGAAGAGTCCCGCACAGAGAGGGGCAGTGGCGGCGGAGACGGAATGCTTGTCGATGGGAAGGGTTGAGGGAACAGATAGGTCACCAGAAAGGATATATGGGCTGGCTGGTGGGTTGGGCCTTTCTTAGTGTCTTGTCCTTCTTTTTTTCTTTTTTTCTCTTTTTTTCCTTCCTCTGTGCTGCTGCTTTGAAGTTTCTTATAATCATATGGCGTCGCCTTGCCTCGCCTTATGTTCGCCTAGGCGATTGGAAGGGGTGGCTCGCCATGTCTCGCCTTAGCACCTTAATAATATATATATCTATACACACACGGTAAGGCTATTCTGTAGCTGGCCACAGAATAATTTATTCTATAGCCATCTTGTTTTACGATAATGTTTATACCAATTTATGATAATGACAATACATATTTACGATACATGGTTACTATAATTCAAGATGATACTTACCATAATGTTATAGTAAATCACTTATGAGAGAGTTACCATAATCTCATAAATTAGTATAGTAATTATTGTAACTCAAAGTGGCCACAGAATAACTTATTGTGCGACCAGCTCCAGTAGCACCGTGAGCCAAACCACTCCAAAATAAGGCCTCTTCTGGAACGCTTCTGAAGATTTCACATCGCTGATGATTACTCTAGTGAGGTGCCGTACTTCCCCAGGCAAAGTTGTGCGTAGAATAATGTTCATCTCCATCCATATCATCGAGCGGATCGGAGGCGATCGATCTCATCACCGGATAACCGCGACGCGACGCTGCCGTCCCGGCCCTGCCCCACCAACGCGACCAGTTCCGCTGCCGGAGCCTTATCGCGACGATTATCCTGAGGACACTGCCTGGAGGCGGGACGTCGTCGGCGCAACGACCCCGCAGCGGGCGCGGGCGACGTCGCCGCACCTCACACCTCCCCTCACCCGCGTGCGTGTTGACGCCACGGCGGACGTCATCGCCCACCCCTCGTCGGCGGCGTAGCGATGGGACGAGACAGGGAGACAAGACGCCACCGCCAGCGCGATGCCGGACCAAGCCCTCTTTATAGTCGTCGGCAAAACTAGTGTCTCGAACCGCAAAGGCACTAGCTCGCACTAGGTAAAAGATCACGGAGTTGTGGCCTGCACAGGCACGACACGATCACTGCCGCGTCAAGCTTCGGCTCAACGCAACCCGGGCATGTATTCAGTACAGGACGACTCGATCAAACAAATCAGATCAGAAGACACCACAACAGAGAACAGACCATATTTAGCTACGAGGTGACTTACAGATACACTACACACTACTCCAGCCTAGTATCTATCGCCTTCCAGCGCACACAAGTGTCCGGATCAGGACGGCAACCGTCCACCCAAGGCCAAGACGAAACGCGCTGCTAATCCACCGAGACCACCCATCGGCGATCGAGGGCAAGAATCTCTTGTATCCTCGTTGCTAAACACGGCAGGCATGAGCGCCTTATCCCACCAAACATGATTAGACCGGCAGAAGAACCTTTGCCCCGATAGGCAACAGGACAAGGCGGCGACTGTGCTGCTGCTGTTGGCTGTTGCTGTGCGGCGGGTCAGCAAGTGCAACCACCACCTCCACTCCACTGCACCTGCACGGCGCTGTTGCTCGCCATCATTTGCTGCAGCGAGGATACGAGGGTGGCGACGGGAATTATTCAGCCCGTTCGGCTGGGGCTGGCTGGCTCCACCACCCGACCCGACCCACAGACAAAAGGAAGGAATGCGACGCGGCCCGCAACGACCTCTGGAGCTTCAGTCCAGAGCGACAGTAATCCGGCGACAAATCGACGTGACCGGCGGGCGACCTCGGCGAGTGGCTTATGTTTATGTACACGCCAGCCGAACACAGGGGCGGTGGCCACGGCGAGGAGGAGGCAGCACGAACATTCCTAGAGCATTTTGTACACCTGGGAACAGCAAGCGAGCCACGGTCTTCCCTTCCTCCAACAAAAGGTTTCATGCTGCCTAGAGCTAACTGCGGGGCGCCTACCCGTGCCGCGGTTCACCTCGGTACAGTGTCCGTCGCTGCTGCGGCGGGGAGCGGGGGCGCGTGCGTCTGGTCTGGTCGTCGTTGGAGACGTTGGCGAGGCCCTGGACAAGGCGCACGATGTCCGCGGGGTCATCCAGGTAGTACTTGGCCTTGCTGGGCTTGCGCCCCACGGTGCACGCGAACACCTCCGCCTCAGGCTGCAGGGCCACGCCCCTCGCCGCTGTCGTGATCACCTCGAACATGTCCTCGTCGGACCGGTCGTCGCCCACGCACAGGACGAAGTCTGGAAGGTCGCCCCGCTCCTGCATCGTCGAAAGGATCCGCTTCGCCACCAGGCCCTTGCTTACGCCCTGCAAAATGGGAGTGTTCACGATTGGCATTTTCGTTACCATGATACAACATTGCTGTCCGAGTTAACAGTAACCGTTGCTGTTGTGAGCAGGAGCAAGCAGGCTTACCTGTGGCTTCACCTCAACAAGGTTGGGTCCAGCTTTCACTGAGACCGGCTCGTTTGAAAGCACACTCTCAAGATGCTCGTGGAGCTCCTTGGCCTGGCACGATCCGAAATCTGGATCAGCATCCTCATAGCACCAAACGATAGCAGTCTCCTTGTTCTCAATTGTTGACCCATCTGTCGTCTCAGTATAGGTCTTCATCACTGGT